TAGTTCCTTCCCCTACACGACGCTCTTCCGATCTCCCCAAAACCCCAAAACCCCGAGCTGACAAATAAGTAAATGGTGCAATTATGAGGAACTTATTAAGAATAAATTAGAATCTGATTAGCTTGATCACATTTTAAGAGCAGCTAGCCTGGCCTCTAAATCATCAGCCTCATCCTATTTCTTTTCTTCTTCAACTGCTCTTTTCTTAGGAATAGCACCTTTTGCTCTTTGCTATAATGGCAATATTAATAATCACATTTATCTAGTAGAATAGTATTCTTACAGGGTCACTTTCGGAGTATTCTAATCCGATTTCATCTAATATATTGTTATAAACATCATCGGCTTGCTCATCTACATCTCCCATTCCCATCTCCATGGCATCATTAACCTGGATAAACATAAATATCTCATCACATTATAATATGCTTACAGCTTCTTGTTATAATTCAGACTTCATGCTTTCCTTTTAGAATGTCTTTAGCACCTGCTGAATGTTTTGGATATCCATTTATTCATTCATTTAGGCTAGAACATGAGAGCTGCCAGCTAAAGATTTGACTATCTCCTGATAGGAACTCATAGTTGACATTTTCATTGACATTGCCTTAAGTTGAGAGTTCATCATATAGTACTAATTAACCTGAGATCTGATACGCACGATATCTTTGCTAAGGATTTTTGCTGCAGCCTATATTTAGAAATCGGTCATAATGTCTGAGCAAAAAATAATGATTGTATACATGTTGTCCTTATTTGGCCAGTTTCGTGATCTCCTATTTATGTTTTTTCTCTTAGCCTTCCATCTTAACTCTCTCACGGTCAATCTTTCTAGCTGCTCTCTCAATAAGTCTCTTGTTTTATTTCATCTCCTCTAATTTAATTTTAGAGAGGATTATCTAAGTTACCTTTAGGATCTACTTTGACTGGTTAATTTCCCATTTAAATCTTCTAATTATTTCTTTTAATTATACAATCTAAATAATAAGATATAATAATAGAGAGCGGGGTTTTGGGGTTTTGGGGTTTTGGGG